CAAGCGAAGAGGAGGTGTGGGAATGGGGACCCAAAGGAGTGGACGTGTCACGCCTGTAACCAGTGCACCGTGATGCTGTGAGCCAAATGGGTCATTTTGCTTCTGCACTCATCAGCAGTGAGGAGCAGATCAGGCTCAAGAAGAGATGAGAAGGAAGCAGAGAAAATGCGTAGAAAAGCTGCAAGAGTGACCTGATCTTGGGCAAGGAAGGTGCTTTGCAAAGGAAACCCTGTCTGTCTATTGGGTTTGCTGAAGGTCTGTGATGGCAGAGGCTGCCCCGGCTCAGCAAGGGAGAGCACAATGACTTTCTCCAGGCAGAAGCTTATGCAGGAAAATAATTCAGACTGGAAATATGATAAAAAATGCTAGTGGTGAAGATAAATAACCTTTGGAAGAACTTACCAGGAGGTACCACTGGTCTTCTTCACAGGAAACTTCAAAGCCAGGCTTTTTGGAAAGGATGGGCTCCAAACAAAGCACAAAGCGGTCCGTATGAAGTGACACGTGCTTTACAGGGGGCAGGTTGGAGGGCTACAACTCTCATCCCAGATTTAAAAATTGGTGGCTCTGCTTCCCTGGGGATGTGCCCTCCAATGCCCCAATACGACAGTTGTAGGTGCTGAGGGAATAGCAGGAGAATGGACAGCAGGTGGTGGCCCCTGCCTACGAGCTGACTTGAAATGCCATCTCCTATAGTCACTGCTGGGGACAGGGTGTTGGGCTGGAGGGACCATTGCACTGAGCTAGTGAGACATTTCTTATGTTCTTGCTTAAAAGGTTTGGTGGACAACAGAGGAAAATGATAACTAACAGTGCAAACACCTCTCCTCAAAACCTGCCGTGAGACCCAGGAGAGCAGATGGAGCTTCATACATTAAGTTTACATCTAAAGGATGTAGAAAACTGCCTGATGTCCTAGCCAGGTGAGGGGAAATGCATCCTCAGCATACCCTGTTCCCCCCAAGACTACAAAAGGAGCTGGGCTGATGCACTCAGATGTAGACACTCACAGGAGAGGTGCCTAGTTGGCATGGATCCTGCTCCTCCAGCCCCTAGCCAGGCAGAAAATGGAATTGCACCTTGGCTAGAAGGTGCAAACAGGGACCTGTTTAAATAGCCAACTAGCTTCCCTAGAAGGCAGAGCTGAGGGTGTAAAAGGGGTCCTTCCCTGCCCCAGGGTGCAGGGAAATGTAAGTAGTGGAGACAGAGTACGTCCTGTGTCAGTCAGCACTGCTAGAAATCCTACCGGCAGTCAGCAACGGGGCCGCACAAGCAGGCTGGTAAGCTGCCTGAATGGATACTAATGATGCCCTGAACAGCATCTGCCTCTCCCATCCTTGGGATAAAGACTAGTGCCAGTGTTGTCCGAGGTGAATTAGGTTTCCCCTATGGCTGTCAGTAATGGAGGGCAGCCTGGTGCCATCTGCGTGGGAGTCATCCCGTGGATGTCAGTGAGAGGCGCTCACCCAGGTTTATACAAGTAGGGATGAGAAGGGACTTGGATTCACTGTGGTGTCTGGTGGGGCAGGAAAGGAGAGAGAGCAGCATGTGCAAAGGTCACCCCCAAAAGTGCCCAGTCAGAAAGATAAAGAAATCTGATTGAAACCCAAGCCCTGCAATTTAATGTTGGGTTTGAACTGAGCGATGCATCTCCCAGGCTGTCATCCTGCCAAGTCGCACGGTGCCTGGGCACCCACAGTTTCCCACAGGCGTTTCCCTTTCACCTCAGCAGCTTGGACTGAAACCAAAGCGGGCAAACTGGAAAGCTAGTGCCGCTGCGGCCAGTTTTTATGTCTAGCTGATCCTATTATCGTGCTAACCTGATGCAGCTGCACCAGCAGCTGAGCTGTTAGAGCGTTATAATCCCATGTGTATTACGGTGATGCCACTAGAGCTGCTAATTTGGCAAAATCTGGATCCTAATGAAGATTTAGCCTATGGCCTTTTGCCATGTCACACTTACATGTAACAGAATTAACTATCTTGGAAATAAAGGCTACAGTCGCCAGAAATTTGCAACCAGCAGTTAAATGGGATTCATCAAGTGCTCCTTGCACATGGACTTGTTCCTCCTCTCTCTGGCTGCATCTATACAGCTAAATAACGCCTTCGAGGACCTGCTCCATGGTTTGAGGTCAGGTAGGGCAGCAAACCTTGCATCCCCAAGCCCGGATGAGACCACCACGAACTCAAATTAACAGAGTTACGCTGGTTGAGAGCCCCTGTATGTGAAAGCAGAAGACCGGGATCCACACCCGCACACCAGACCATGCTGCTGAGCTTTTGCTTGCAAGCGAAGCTGCGTGCACGGCCAGCTGCTGTGGCTCAGTGGATGTAGGGTCCCTTGTCAAGCTGGTGCTAAGTCGTGTGTTGAAATGCAGTAAGTGGGTGCTGCGTGTGGGTCTCGGGACACGAACAATACGGGCAATAAAACATTTTCCAAAAGCGTCGCCATGAACGTGAACTCACGCACTGAGCAGGAGTTACCTTCAGATGCACTGAGCGCTTGTTTTCATCCTTTTCCACAAATATTGCTAGCGGGGAGATGCTCCTCAGAAGGTCACGTGTAGAAAGCGAGATGGGCACAGATGCATAAGGGGATTTGGGCACTGCAACGGTCCCTCGCCCACCCTTGAAGGCAGTCTTTTCCTTGCAAGAACGACAACCCTTTTTGTATACCATCCCAGTGGCCAGGATGTATATTTAGATTGAAGATGTCCCTGTGGGATCAAGGACACCTCTTCTGCCTCCCCAGGAAGGCAGCTGGGTCTCAGGGGGGCTGGACCGCGGCACTGCCAGAGCCCCGAGGCTGGCTGATAAGCAGGGAGGAGGGATGCCATCTCTGCTGCCCACAGATGTGGTTGTGCCCCCCAAGCCTAGGCATTCAGTTGAGTCAATCAGTCAAACGGAAATAATCCCAGGGGATTTAGGTGGTGATAACCAATGTAAATAGCAAGGACCTTTTGCTTGTTTAAGGCTTTGATGGCAGAATACTTGCACTGATAACTTGCAGACTGAAATACGCTAGTATAAAGTGCTTGTGCAGCTACCAACTACAAATCAGAAATAAATAAATAATAAATAGCTGGATGCTCACAGTTACTTCTGGAACGGAGAAAAAGATACATTTAAGCAAATCAATTCACTCACTTGTCCTCAAGTCCGTCTGAAAATATTCTCAAAGTGTCTCTCGGCGCTGCAAAAATTATCTCCTGTTCTCATTTACATGCAAATGTTAAGAATTGAGAGTTACGTATTCCTCCCATCTTCAATGTTTTTTTGGGGGGACTGTGTCATCAGCTGTTCCAGCATTCATGATTTCCCACTTATTTATCTACTCAGGCCTTTTTTTTTTTTTTTTTTTTTTTATGCACAGTCTCTCTGCAGTCTGGCAGAGCCAGTATTGCAGTATTGCTTTAGGAAGAGGCAGTTGTGACAATCCGGTCCCAGGCTGAAGCCCGCGCTGTACAGGGGCTGCTCTGTCTGGAGCAGCAGCCTTACCCCCAGTGTGGGGCTCACGTTTAAAAAGAAGCAAAAAAAAGAAAGAAAAGCTACTTTTATCTGTTCTGCTTTGAAGGGAAAAAGGATTACCGAGGCTAAATAAGCCATCTGAGTACTTAGCTAGCAAGCCTAAATAGTACCCTGATAGGAAGTTCTGGCAGAGAGCTAATTAAATTAACCCTCTTTGATTTATTAACAAGCAGAGCAACGTATCACCCAGGATTGTCCCATGAAATGAACGTACTTTCTGATTCCCTCAGCTGCTTTGGCACAGTCACCTCCCAGAAAACCCAGTTATGGGGCCTCAAGTTTAATGAGACTCAATGGCTCAAAAAGGATCCCTGCCCACCAACAGAGATACACGCGCTGGTAATAATACGCAAAAGCATGTTATTTTCCTTGCACTTCCCTAATTCCTTTTTAATGCCTAGGACGATCTAATGGCTAATTAGTAATTTCCTGCCCACCGATATGCAGATGAATGACAAGCAAAAGCCTTCTGCATGTTTAATTATTCTGTTGATTTAGAAGACACTTCTCCCTCAGTGCAAGTTTCTCTCTGTGTGTGCTCTCATGCATCATGTATTTCATTATTTTTAGAAGCATGCTCTGTGCCTTTTTATGCTTTCATAGTTCCAGCATCCAGTAATTACCATGTTTTGTGTCCAACGGACCTGATCCACCGGCGGATGTAAATCAGGAAAACATCGCTGACTTAAATGGAGTTATTCCAAGTTACACCAGACCTGAGACCTGACCTCTCCTATTTTTAGTGGTGGTGGGAAATGTTATTTGTGTGCTGGGACCCTTGTGAAGTAGCAGAATATAAAATTTAGAAAACTTCAGAGTGGTGAAAATCCAAATCGAAGCCTGCAAACGCAAAGACGTGAATCCATTTATATAGCGAGCTCTACTTCTGCTTAACCCCTGCAAGGAACTGTAACTCTCTTTGCATATTTGATTTTTCTCCCTCGGTAAAACATAGTCTACTTAATCTATTTTTGCTACTTTCTAACAGTTTCACTGGTGGGCTTCTTCCCTGTGCCTTACGTTTAGCTTTGGTATCCAAGTGCTCTTTTGTTAAATTAAGGCAATTAATAAATGGAGACGTTAAGCAATCAATTTTGCCTGTGTATCTCCACAGCCTTACGTATGACTGGCTGTAATCACAAGATAAATGCAATGTGCTGATGTATGGTAATGTTCAATAATACATTCTCCACCAGGCTCAATTCATCAGGGAGTTTCTGGAGGGGAGGCATTCGTTATTGGCTGTCTCCGGACCTCAAGGATAACATTTCTGTCCTTTCCATTGGCCGCCCCGCTGCTGCAAGCCTCTTCCCGTCTTATTTTGATGATGAATATGAAGGCATGCTAAGCCGTGCCAGAGCGTAGCTCTCGCCGACTGCACTCTCTCCCCGGGCTCAAGGACTCAGGGGCTCCCTCGCTGCTTCCCCTGCCCACCGCCAGCAGCAGCAGCAGCAACGCCAAAAGTTGTGATGCTTTTCTTCACCCAGTGCTTTGGGGCTGTGTTAGATCTTATTCACCTGCGGTTTCAGCACTACAAGGCAAAGAGGGTTTTCTCAGCTGCCGGGCAACTTGTCTGCGTCGTCAACCCAACGCACAGCCTAAAGGTGAGTTAAAAATATTTTTTTTCTCTTCTGACATCTTGTTGTTCTCCCCTCCCCCGACGGTGTTTCTCCGCAGGGAATGAAATGATGGTCTGGCAGCAAGGGGAGAGTGCTGTTAACACATTGCAGCCCTGGCAAAGAGGATGTTTGCATTGTCTAGCTGCATTATTCCCTTCGGAGCGAAGGGGAAGCAACCCGCTGCTCCATGCGATCGTGGGAAGTCGCTGCTCCCCCTCCCCAAAGTTTCCTCATGCCTTTCACCTGTGTAATGAGCACGCGTGTTGCAAGCGTCTGGAAAAAATGATTGGAAAAGTTAGTTGCATGAATTAATGTCCCTTTTTGGTGGAAGGATGCTGGGCGGTCTCCCAGGCTGACACCCAAGCACAGCGGGATGCTGCCAGGCAGCGGGGAGCGGGGAGAGGGGGCTGGCAGCAGAGGGGTCTCCGGCTGCTGGTCTCGTTTGCGTTTTCGGGGGAAAAAGGCTGTTTCTGTCTCCTGAGGGAAATCTGAAGGTGTTCCTCTGGCGCTGAAACTGTCCTTAAGCCGTTTGCAAGGTGAATCTATTTTAGGCAGGAGAATACATTTGCCTTAATGCAAAACTATTTATAGTCCCCATAAAACATTTCTCTTACTCGCACAGTTCTGGATTTTCACTGACAAAGTGTCAACAGCTCCGTCTATGCTAGAGCCCTGATGCTTGTACGTAGTGAAGGAGCAGCAGGGGGAGAAAGCAATTGGGAGGCTTTAATTACTTTATCACGCTAGTGAATGACCAACTTTAACGAAGTGGCTCCTGTTTTGCGGGAAGTCCTTGCGGACCTGACTTGCAATGCCACTCCACTAGCCCAAAGCAAGCTAAGAAATGAATTTAATTCAGGACAACTTACCTTTGGCTCTGCTGGGGTCCCTGCGAGGAACTCAGAGGGGTTACGGGGAGCATCTTTCCCCAGCCGCGGGCCCCCGGGAGGTCTGTTGATGGGGTAAATCCCTCTTCAGAGCAGCACTCCCCCCCCAAAAAAAAAGGCAGATCTCCTGGAGTTGTATTTCCAGGCTCAGGCTGCACTCAGGCAGGGAGAGGTTGTTTCTAGCAGGGCGCCAGCTCCAGGAGGATTTCCCTGCAAGGCTGTGCTCAGTCCGGCGAGCACTGCTGGCTGGGGCAGGCGCTCCTAGGGGACGGACTGCTCTGGTGCGGGCTCACCTCTCCCAGCATCGTGCCTCGCTGCAGACACAAGCTATTTAAAAAACCTGCAGCCCTGTCATTATCTGAAAGGATCTAGCCATCCAAATAGATAAAAGAAATAGCCGCGTTCCTAAGTGCATGGGGAGATTTTGTAAATGAATGCTTCTGTGCCCGACCCCTTTTATGTGACTGTCTCCTGCTACTTTCATCTATATTTTTAATTATAAAAAAAAAAAACGAGCAGAAAAAGGTTATTGAAGGTCACAATACAATTTCAGTGCCAGTGGCACTGTCTGATGAGGTCCCATAAGCACACAGAGGGGTGTCCACTACTGCTCCACTGGTATCTAGGACTAGACCTGAATTTATCAGTTCAGGTCCTCTCGAGTTGGAGATTTGCTATTGTAGGAGCTGCAGCATTTTGCCTTTGAGCACACCAAAAAAAGTTGATGCTTCTGTTCCTCTCTGTTAAACACAGGGCATTTCAGTTTATTAAAATCTCTCATGGCCAAGCTCTTCACTGCTCAGACCCAAAGCCTGGTAGAGAGACAAGCAATCTTGGCACTATCTTGGCAGCTCTTGAAAGCAGGCACTGGATGCAAAGATCTCTTGGAAACACATGGGGGCCTCTAGGAAAAGGTCCGACATGTCAGTGAAACCCCAGTGAGAATAGCCTTGACCTGGGCGGGAATTGCTCCCTCAATAGGGTTGTAGTGGGAACCCAATTGCACGTGTTTCCTACACGGGCCTGTTGTGACACCAGATGGGACAAGCTGACAAGAAACCTCCCTGCTCTGGAAAAACCCCTCTGACTGTAAAGTGAAATATGCTTTGAAGGTGCTCCTAGGTTACCCAGCTCATATCCAGCCAGGTAAATACGGCAGGCTTTAGCACTGATCCACTCTCAGGGTGTTCAGTTTCATTTCCCACCAGCTCTGCAAGGAACGCACCACCGCTTTGTGCCAGCACACAGAAGAGACAGGCGGGTCGGACCCCTTTGTGCCCGGCACGGCACTACCGGCGCCCACCCACCAGCGCCAGCGAGTGGTAGGAGCCTGTGGGCCAACACCAGCTGTCTCCGAGTGAGACACCTTGCCCCACCTGCTCTTACCTGGCGGTGGAGAAGTGGTCACCTCCAGCAGGCAAGGCACCTTGTCCAAAAACTGGTGTCAAAGACAAGCCAGATGAACCTGCTTCTCGGGGTGCCCGTTTTTCCCCTGGAGATGCACAGGGAGGTTGTTGTTGCTCCCTCCAGCAACCTGGTGCAGATTTCTGAAGCTGGGACAGGGAAATCCCCCCCAAACTGTCCCGTATGCCAAATGACACCTGAGAGACCATTAAAAATGAAAGGGCCGAACATATTCCTCTGTGGTGGTTTACAGGATTATGACTACTTTGATGTTTCATAGTCTATTATTTCTAGCTGGGTCATTTCAACTGTAACATTTTGTTGACGGCCCCCAAATCTATCTTAACAATTGACAAGTGGAGTGAAAACTGTATTAAGGTTTGCGGTTGATGAATACAAGCCTGCTAGGAAACAAGGGCTAGGAGCAATGTCATTTCTCTCCCTTCCCTTCAAGGCTTAAACGTTTGTGCTTACTCCAAAATTGTAAGCTCTTTGCAAAGGGATTATTTTATTACGTATCTCCACAGCACCTGGGCAAGGGGGCTCCTGGCTGGCTGGTGCAAATGATAAATGGCAGGCATCATATTCTGGTGTGGTTATGCATGTTGACATCCCTCGCATAGGTCAGGTCCTCAGTCAGTGCCAACACGCATAACTCCATTAAAGTCAAACTGCAGCAGGACCTCCATTCTCACCCCTTCCATTCAGGGCAGTGCTCAGGGATGGTGGTGGGATCCAGCCCCTTCCAAGGACCCGCAGTTGGTGATCACATATGTGTGTCAGAGATTTGGCATCACGTAAAGCACCCAGTGAGCGGCAGAGGACAGGGGAGTGCTGGTACCCTCCAGGGAAAGGTTGCACCAGCTTCTGCTGTCACAGGCCCATAGCTAGACCAAGGGGGGTGTCTAGTAAAGTTGTATCAGCACGCTGTCACTGCAGTCACAGCCCAGACCTCTGACAGTGACCGGAGCCCATCACTTCTTCCTTTAGGAGACGTCCACAGGTTGGCAGAGAAGCACATGCTTAGAAAGAAACCTGTGTCTTTCTTCCCACTGAAAGGCTCATTAACTGGGCTGATGAGCGCCCATAGCTAGACCAAGGGGGGTGTCTAGTAAAGTTGTATCAGCACGCTGTCACTGCAGTCACAGCCCAGACCTCTGACAGTGACCGGAGCCCATCACTTACTTCTTCCTTTAGGAGACGTCCGCAGGTTGGCAGAGAAGCACATGCTTAGAAAGAAACCTGTGTCTTTCTTCCCACTGAAAGGCTCATTAACTGGGAAGGCTGATGAGCGATTCAGTGTATCTTAAAGGAGAAGACGGTAAGAGTGTCAGCCCAGACACCTCTATTGATCTGCTGCTATTTTCCCTTTGTACAACAGGCTGACACAGGCAGCTCTAAACAAGGAAAGACAATTTTGCAACCATCATCCTCTGTTTTGCCTGTTTGGCAGGGGTATGAATAGGGTGGGGGGGGTGTTTTGGAGCCTCTTTGTCCTTCTTGCCACTTTCTGCTCTTTGTCCTCCCACGAGCTTTCCCAGGCGTGGCAGCAGCACCTTATGATGTGGTGCTACACTGGGATCAAAATTCACTTGCCGAGCAGAGAAAATCACATATTTACTGCACTTCTATAGGTCACCTTCGTTCTCTATCGTATTATATGCATTACCTTGTAACCTGTAACCTTCAAGCGTACAGTCACCCTGACGTCTCCCCTTGGAGAGGCACGACCAGACAATGGAGCTCCCCAGCTAAGTGGCTGCTCCCTCCAAGGACATATTAATTAGAGGAGCACCGCTCACGCTGCTGGCTGCAGGCCCCAGCGTGCAGGGAAAGTTTTAAGGTGTTCCATGTGCACGGAAGAAACAAGCAGGGTTTGCTGGTCCCTGCGGAGATGAGGCTCAGTGAATTCCTCTGCATTTCCCCCCTGTTAATAGCAATTCCCCCCAGCACTGCTAATTGCACCCCAGGGAGAAGGCGAAGGTGGGTGGCTGTGTCCTCGCTCCTTAGCTGGCATCGGTCCCTGCCCCAAAAACCAGGCGTGCATGGCAGGGGACTGCAGTGCAATCACAGCCCAGCCGGGTGCCGATGCATTGCGAGGTGCTGTGTATGGCTGGGTAAAACAGATCTTCTTCATTCAAGGAGTTACTAGCTTTTTACACACAACTTTAACTCTTTGGAGAGTGTGAAAAATGTTCTTGTAAAGAGTAAAAAAAGTGTGTTTACCGTGTTCTTGTAAAAACCACCCGTCTCCATCTCTGTAGGACTTCAAGGAACTCGTTGAATTACAAAAAGAAGCATACTTAAAGGAGGGCATAAATAGTTCAATCCTATATTTAAAAAGGGTTGTAGCATGGTTTATGGGGCCAAGCTGTCTTCTAGCTATTTTTTAAAGCAACAAGCGAATCTGCTCTGAGTTAGGGATGGGATTTGAATCCTGTTATAACAGTTTGGCTCTGCATGCAGTGGCCAGCCAAACACCTTTGTAATCTACTTTATCCCCAGCAGGATTAAAGTGCTACAGTACATTATACCCCCATGAGTTTTATTTATTTATTTGGTGCAAGGGAGGAGGGGGACTCTGAAACCTGCTGCTAACAACCCCCAGACATCCTCTGTCACTGTCTCAGCCCAGACACCCTCAGATCTCCCATGCAGGGCTGTGATTTGGGGAGCCCAAATGGCATTTGGCCC